GGTGGTGAACGTGCCGAGGAAAACGTACGGGCCAGTGACACCGGTCTTGTTGTAGAAGGCATTGAACCACGACTCGGGAATGATGCCCAGACGGGTGGGCTCACAAAAATCGGGCTGAACTGGTCGGGGGAAGTTCTTCAAGTCTCGCTGAGGATTCTGGTCGTCCTTGATGGTGGGAAAGTTGGCTCCGAAGCGAAGATTCAGAAAGGACTCGAGCGACTCGTTCTTCGGGTTGTACTCCTCACCGATCTCGTCGGAAAGAGCCGGCAGCTTGGGCGCTGTTCTGTGGTAGAACACCGCTGGCGTAGAGCTGATGCCACGGGCCGTGACCAGCATGCCATTCTGGTTGATGGCCTGGGCTGTAGACACAAGGTGTGAACAAGAACATCTCGGTCAGTTCTGCAATACCAAAAACATACACAAAAATACTCACCAGCCTGGAGGAACTTGCGAGCGAGCATCTCGGGTGGTGGTGACGATCACACAAACAGAATACCTAGTGATTGGGACCAGAGGATGAGTTAAAAACACCCAAAACACCGGCTCAAAAGTGAAGCACCCTACCTGGAGAAAATCTTTCAGCTGCTTCGGCACTGGCAGACCACTGCTCACAATGTCACCCAAAACACTGGCCGATCGCAGAAGACGTAACGCTACCCGTGTGCTTTGCCTTGCCTGCACTTTAAGTTTGCTATCCCAATAAAAGGTTTGCAGCTTATTTTGTAGATAATAAACTCATCGCTAGTCCTGAAACGGAAATTGACCATTCCAAGAGGAACGCCCACATGGTTTTCCTACTTTCACCGCTGCCCTACTCAAATCAATGCTTTGTAGACTGGTAACGTCTTCTGCGATCGAGCGCTTCTGCCACGCTGTACACGTTGTATGTGAAGGGAGAGCGCACGCGTTTGCTTTCTGCCTCTTTTCCGTCGCGTCCGCCGGATTGATTTACTTTTTTGCTTGTCGTCGTCTTCACCACTCGACTNCTTCTGCGATCGAGCGCTTCTGCCACGCTGTACACGTTGTATGTGAAGGGAGAGCGCACGCGTTTNTAAACAAAAGTTACCGTGAGTACTTTGTTCCCTGCACTCCCACACCTCGCCCGGGCCTTCCGGAACACCGAGGAGCCAGTGAGGAGTGTGCAGGCTACTGTTTTCACTGATCTAACCCGCTTGTTTATTCGCTAGAAATGGCGGACGCTGCTCCAGCCGGTGCACGAGGAGGATTTCGCGGAGGATTCGGTGGACGAGGCCGTGGTCGTGGCCGCGGACGTGGACGCGGTCGCGGTGACAAGGACGCCGCCAAGACCTGGAGCCCGCTGACCAAGCTAGGCCGTCTGGTCTTCGAAGGCAAGATCAAGAGCCTTGAGGAGATTTACAGATTTTCTCTGCCCATCAAGGAGGCCGAAATCATTGACCACTTTCTCGGCTCTGCCCTCACCGACGAGGTGCTGAAGATCATGCCCGTTCAGAAGCAGACCCGTGCCGGACAGCGCACTCGCTTTAAGGCCTTTGTCGCCATCGGCGATTCCAATGGACACGTTGGTCTGGGCGTCAAGTGCAGCAAGGAAGTGGCCACCGCCATCCGTGGTGCCATCATCCTCGCCAAGCTTTCCATCATCCCTGTTCGACGAGGCTACTGGGGCAACAAGATCGGCTCTCCCCACACTGTCCCTTGCAAGGTAAGCAATGCTTGTTTATTTTCCCTAGATCGCCCCATCCACGACGTTCAAGGCAGGCTCGGTCGGCTTTCGGGCCTTGACTGAGCTCTGCCTGTCGCAGCCCTCGTTGAGCACTGGCACTCCAGCCAACACCTCTCTAGGTTGCTCTAATGGTACCTGCAACGTCGGAAAGTAGAGGACTGACTTCGTTCCTTCGGGAGCTTGAGGTGTTTGTCCTGGCAGGCATATTCCATAACCTCTTTGTATTGCAGCTAGCTGCTCTGACAACTGAGACCGACCATGCTTTAACCATTTCCCACTTATTCTCCCTAGGTCACCGGCAAGTGCGGCTCCGTTCTGGTGCGACTAATTCCTGCCCCTCGCGGTACTGGCATCGTCTCGGCTCCAGTGCCCAAGAAGCTGCTCACCATGGCCGGCATTGAGGACTGCTACACTTCGGCGCGAGGCTCTACCTGTACGCTGGGCAACTTCGCCAAGGCTACCTACTTTGCCATCCAAAAGACCTACTCCTACCTGACCCCCGACCTGTGGCCCGTCTCACCGCTGACCAAGTCGCCGATGCAGGAGGTTTAAACGTTATTTTAATCACCATGATTTAATAATAATATAAAAATTCTAAAAACTACCCAGTGCTACGACAGCACGAGAATTCAGAGCTGTAGTAGAGTGAAGGCGTGTGTCACTGATTCTGCGTGCAATTGCTGCTGCATGCCGGCGTCTCGCTCGATTCGAAATGGGCGCCAAGTCATGTCGGGCAGAGTGATGTAGTGGGAAAGAGAACATGAGGGGAGGGAGAGATTTCGGGTACTCCCCAATGCACCCGAATGCACCAAGAGCACATTGCCAGTGAGTGTCTCTGAGCTATTGCTTCACCCTCGCAGCATTGACATTGACACCAGTAGCCTCGGTGAAGGAGGAGAAGCACTAGTGCAAGTGGATGAACTGTGGGCAAAAGCTAAAGCCTAAAGCTGCAGACGGACTGATCTGACTGAGCTGAACTGCAGCAGCAGCACGACGACCAGCACTGGAAGCACTCGGTGTGTGTGAGCCTGTGGTGGCCTGGCAGGGTGAGTGCTGTTGGAGTGCAAGCACACTATCGCACTAGTGCAGCTTCCAACTGGCCTGGCCTGGCCTCGCTTGGCGGTGCTGCTGCTGCTGCTGCTGCTGTTGGTGGTGGACAACGGCGTGAAGACAGCTGCAACAGCAGCAAACTGTCTGTCTCTTTTTCGCAGTATCCCTCTGCCTCATCCAGTCTGGAGCAGGAGCACTTCTTTTCTTTCTTCTTTGCACATTAGCATGGCCAACTCGTAAGCTGAACTGCAGCAACAGCAGTAGACAGTCAGACACATTCTTGGACGATTTGATCGGCTTAGCACCACCACCACCATCGCCACCGTCGACACCATCACCACCAGCTGAACACACGACCTGTCCGGTCTGCAATCAGTACTACCCAATCAACTTTTGTATTTGTATTTGTGGTAGAGATTCAGACGATGATGGTGCTGCATGAGAAGAAGAGCATGCCAACATTCTCTCAGTGTGTGAATGCACTCTGACCAACAAACTCTCTCTCTCTCTCGCTCTCTTTCCTCTTTCTCTCACTCCTTGGACGACTCTATTTGCCGGCTAGGCGTTGGCGCGCCCAGTGCCGCCGGATTATTATTATTGTTAGTGCCAGTGTCTGTCTGTGCCACTCTTGCCACCTGCTCCTCAACTTGCCGCTACTGCCAATTACTGCGACGGCGGCAACACACGCCGTTTCTGGAACACGCCATTCATTGTTGAGCACTCGGGAAACCCGATTGCAACAGACTGCAATTTGCGCGCCAAATCATCCGAGCGAC